ATAAAAATTTATAAAATCATTTATAATTTCTTTATATTCTATTGCTACAGATAACATTGCATAGGTGGAATTCCACCTATGGTCAACATCTTTTGGAATTAGTCTAGGCTTATAATTTTTTCTTTTACAACATTGTTTCCATCTTTTAATTCTCATTTCAGAAGCATTATGCATATTAGTAACTGTTCTAACTTTTTCTATCATGGGTTTAATTTCAGAAAATGCACTTTGAACAATTAAATTTAAAATATGACAGATACATCTAACATGAAAAAGCTCACCATGACATGGCAATGACAAAGTTATTTTCAGAAAATCAACAGCTACATTATTATTACTTGCATTATCTAGTGAAAGAGTAAATATTCTTTGATCAATTTCTAGTTTCATAAGTTCTTCAACAATTAAATTTGCAACATTAATACCAGTGTGTGACTCTTCAATTGCAATAAAAGAAACAACTCTTTTAAACATTTTCCAACTTTCATCAATCCAGTGTGCTGTTATACATAAATAACCAGTTTGCACTCTAGATGACCAAATATCAGAAGTTAAAGAAAATTTGCAGTTTAAATTTTTAAAATAAGAAATTATTTTTCCCTGTTCCTCAACATAATATTTTAAAATATCACGTTGACAGGTTTGACGAGAAAATTTTGTAAATGCAGGATAAAAACCATCTCTAAATAAATCTTCAAATTCATCATCTTCTACTAATTTAAAAGGAAGGTTTTTAAGAACAATAAACCTGATTACGCATTTCCGGGCTCGGGCAGCGTCATAATTCCAACTGCCGAGGGTACCTGAAGAGGATGATTGGGAAAGCATAGACTGCCGGATATCACCTTGTAGATTTTGGCCTTTGTTGTGTTTTTCAATATGCCGTTTGAGATGGTTGGTGCCGCTCTTATGATGAGCTTTGAATATCTGGCCGCACAACGCACATTTCGCATTCTGAGAGATGATCCTACCGTGTTCATCCTTGGTGACGTCTATCTTCTCAAAAAAATTCCATACATCAGACCTCGGCCTTTTTGGAGCTCTTGGTGCCGTAGATTCGTCACCACCAGATTCAGGATTAACACCGGTAGGATGAGGAGTTGTTGTAGGAGGACTCATCTCTGGATCGGTAGGAGTTGCATGTTGCTCTTCATAATCAGACCCAGAAGCCATTTGTTGGAAGTATTAGAAAATACAAAAGATTATAGGATAGTATATTATTGTATAAGAGAGTAGTAGAGAGAGAAATAGATGAGTTTTGTTGTGAGAAAATGAATTGAAACCCCCCCTCTATTTATAGAACCAGCCCCCTAGGTAAATGACCAAAAAACCCTCGAAAAATAGCCGTTTTTGACCGTTTTAAGGGGCAAAACGGTCAAAAGGCCAAATCTGGCCGTTAGGCCAGATTTGGCCCGGGGGCCCGGGCCCGGGCACGACCGGGCCGGGCCCGGGCCGGACACCGGGCCGGGTCCGGGCTCCGGGCTTTTTGGACACCCCTATTGCAGTACTTGTACTATTTATCTTAATCTAGATTGCAATATCTCGGGGTTTTGTTTGACTGGTATCAAGCCAAGGTTACTCACACGCAATGCAAACTGCACAATGCACAATTATACACTCAGCACTTTAGCACAGTGAAGTGAAATTGAGATAAACTCTCATTCACGCACCTCTTTCATTGATAACCAAAGTCCTTGCTAACTAAAGATCCTTGCTAACTGAAAGTTATTAGAAATAATGGTGATCGGAAAATAATCTATCTATATATATACTACTATAAAAAAAGGATTGGGGTGTTAAAACTTTTAATTTCCTTTTTTACCCTCTTAAATCTTTATAAATTCTAACTAAGCCATTATCTCTAATTAATCTTTCATTAAATAAATATAGCATGTTATTATTTATGCATCTCCTCACCTTCCTAAACAATTATAATTATCAATAATATTATAGCTATTAATTGTTTAAAAATAATAAAATAAAATAATTGTAATATAAGTATACATAATTATTAGTAGTAACCAATTAAAATATTATAATAATTATTTATGAATTATAATAAAATAATTAAAATAAGAGTATACATAGAATAATATATTACTAAATACTATTAAAAATCATACTATAATTCAATGAGCAGTAAAATAAATAGAATAAATTTTGAATCACATAAATATTGTAATTATTTTAATAATATCACATTAATTATGAATTGCACTATTTATTTAGTATTATATTATTAAATAATTTAATATTATTTTTAGAGTATTTTCTCAAAGATTATCCATGATACTGAATAATTTATAGTTGGTAATGATTGAAAACTAAACTTTTTACAAAAAAATATTTAATATTAATAATAATACTATTAATTGTTAATAATAGTACAATAAAAATTTATAAAATATTTATAGTACTAAATTATTTAATAGCGTAATTAAAAAATTAAATTAAATAAATATTTTATAGCATACAGACAATATAATTATTTTAATAGTATTACTTGAGCTAATAATTATAGTATTAAAAAGGTAAATTGCAGTAAACCCTCATGAACTTTCAACGTTTTACAGTAAATATATCCTATGCACTTTCGAAATCACACTAAACCCCTAATAACTTTTGTAGAGAGCCCCTAATATCTTTAAGATAGATTACATCAAATCCCCGATAACTTTCAAAATGCTTTTTATGCCATTTTATGGTTCTAATTTACAGGGTTATCTGTAAAATTCAGAATGTTATTAGGAGTCTTCTTTGAAACAAAAAAAATCATTAGGGGTTTAGTGTAACTTTGAAAGTTTATATGCCTCAAGTTCACAAGGATTTAGTATAACTTACCCTATTAAATAATTATAATGAGAAGTAACTATTTGTAATATGTTGCATGTATCAAGTGTAACTATCTCGGGGACAAGATAAAATCTAGCAATAATAATGCAGCTTATTTAATTTAGATTTAAGTTCTTTTCGAAAAAAGAAGAAGATTTAAGTTAACAACTTTCAAGTTGGAGAGCCATATTTAAGAGAAATTATAAAATTGATAGTTTTATTTAAGAACAATTTTAGATTTGAGAACTTATTTATAAACAAATTTAATACTGGGCGATCATTATAAAAAATATTTAATTACAATAAGTATACAATAATAATTAGTTCATACAATTTCTTTTTAAGCAATCTTATTATACAAATTTATTTATTAAACATAGTTTTACTATTTAATAAAAAATTAAAATTTAAAACATGTACGTTTTCACGTGCAAAAAACACGTGTATTATACTAGTTGCAGTAAAAATGATATTGTGATCTTAAACTTTGTATATTGCTACTCCTATATCTTAAACTTCATGGTAGCTATTGGAGATTTTGATCAACCAAAGACAAATTGGTAGGTGTTGATGATCTGGGACTGTAGGTGCCAAAAACCAAGAAAATGTAAATTTCAAAAAACCCCAAATTGGGCTATTTTACACAAGACCCTCGGCGAACTTTGCTTCTCCCACTATAAAATCTTCTTACTTTTTTCAAACCCCTAACCTTATGCATTAAACCCCTCATTTCTTTTTCCTCATGCATGCACACAGCCAAGGACGGAGCTCCCAATCCTTTTTATTTTTCTCTTGTTTAAAATTTTCAAATTTCACGTAAGGATCTAATATTACTAAATTATGTAATGTTCTAATATTAGAAAATTATGAAAGTTTCATGTTAACCATCCAAACCTATTTAATAGAATAATTTCTCCGCCATTAAAGAATCATTATTCAAATACAAATGATGTTGAAAGTTGGATGTTTTGAGGGTAAGGTAGGGTGGTTTAGTGGGGAAATAACAAAAGAAACTTTAGCTGGAAATTATGGTTCAATACAAACGATGTTGAAAGTTGGATGTTTTGAGTGTGGGTGGTTTAGTGGAGAAAAACAGACGTCAGACAGTTTCATGAGAAATGGCTCGAGATTTTGGTTTTCCTAATTTTCTCAAAAAAAGGATTTTTTCTATATTTGTCCCTTACATATTTTGTATTTGGATATTATTCCTTTAAATCATTAAAATTGCTATTATATCCCCAAATTCTAATAAGTTGTTCCAAATTAATCAATTTGCTATTTTTAAAACAACTTAAGAATTATAGGAACTTAATAACCATTTCAATGTATGAGGAACTAATGTAAAAATATGAAATATTGAAGGGACTAGCACTGAAAAAGGGTTAATTCCACATCAGCTAGCAATTTTTTTTAAATTTTATTTTATGTTCTTCTTGGTTTGGGAGGGTCTTTTTGTTTTTTTATGGGGGGGGTTATCATGTTAAGTCAAAACTATATTATCTCACCGCTTTGAGTTTACGAAATTCAACAAAACCCTTCCGAACTTTGAACATCTTTGATCAGAATCCCTTACTTGTAAATTGCAAATGATTAAAACTTTCTTGAAAAAAAAATATCATTTTGGACGAAGGGTGTGTTGTGTGTGCAAGTGACAAATGTCAAAATTTGAGATTTCTTTCTCAATAACATTTTACTTATTCTCAAATTGCATGCAGTGTATTCTAGTAGAAGAATATTAAAGTTCAGAGGGGACTTTCAAGACAACCCAAAGTTCAAGGGGGTTACGTTTTGTGAGATAAATAAAGTTCAGGCGGTTAGGTGCAACACCCCCAAAGTTTTGTGGGTGAAATCAAAAAAAGAAAAACAGTAGACACGTGAAGAAAGACAGTGGCGACGAGCCACCGCCTCTGCTCTCGCTCTCCGCTCGCCCAATATTTCCCCATCCCTGTTTCATGTTGGCTTCCTCCTCCTCTCGAAAACTCCTCTCTCTTCTCGCTCTCAAACCACTCTCCCCCTCTCTCATCGCGACCTCCGATCCATCGCCATCATGCCCTACTCCCACCGACAAGCGAGCAGAAGCTGCGCAGCCGCAGTGGAAGCGAAGGCTGACCTGACGAGCGTCGCAGTCTTCGTCGTCCACGGATGAGACGGTCGGAGCGTCGCCGAGAGGTCACCGCCGCCGCGGCACCGGGAAAACGTGGAGGCCAGGCTTACACCACTCCTCTGCGGCGGCGCTGAAGAGGCGGCGCCGGTGAAGGGGATGCCGGAATTGTCGAAGGCGTTCGAGGAGCTTACTGTGGATAATTGTACGTTCTCGCGGGCGCAGATACGGGCTACATTTTATCCCAAATTCGAGAACGAGAAATCGCACCAGGAGGTGAGCTACTGGTTCCTGATGCTCATATCATCGGGTTTATTTTTGTGGTCATGATTTTAATACTTCAAGCATTTCATGTCCTGAAATTTTCGATTTGCTGGGAGCACCTGGAATGGGGAACCCTTTTAGATAATAAAAGTGCTCTCCTTTCATTAATTCGTTCTAGATTTCTAATATGACAATTGACAAACTATCTGTATTTGCAAATTTACACATTTGTTACTTAGCTTTGTAGTGTGAAATATATTTACCAATGTTTTTGGGGCAGGGAAGATAACAGCAGACTTCGTTACTTGCATGGTTGTCTTATTATTCTTTCTTCGCGGTTCTCTATGAAATTGTTAACCTCTTTCATCTGAATACAAGCATTAAAGCTATGTCAACCTTCAAATACAAATATCAATACAAGGCTAAAATTTGGGAGAGATTGGACCTGACTGTTGTTTCTTCAGGCGTGAGATCATATCATAATCTTAAAATGTGATTTATAGAAAAGTCTTCAAAAATAATGAAGTTAGATGACCACATTTGTTGTAATTAATTTGTTAACTACACAAAAATATCACATAAGGGAAGACATCTAGGTTCCTTATGCTGCATTTAAATGCTGAACGTACAAAGGCATGTAAGTATCTGTGTACAATGTAAAATGACTCCTAAAAAGCTGCAAGGTAATTGATTTTGAACTCATTACAAGCCTTAATAATTTAGAAACTAGACACCAACTATTATCTTCTATTTGTCGCTTATCAATTATAATTTGGTTCTTTTTTCTGATCTTCTACAACCATGTATATTTTACCTTTATTATATTCGTTGCATCTGTTGTATCATCATTGCATTTTATCCTTTATGTTGTTTCCCTTGCATTTTTACATTTTTGAAAAAATTGGAGGAAAAGTTGATTGGTTACATGATCTTATCTTGTGCAGATTAGGACAAGAATGATAGAGATGGTCGCTCATGGCCAGGCTACCTTGGAGGTGTGCTTCAGCTATTGTTTATATATCTTACGTCGTTCATGTTGCACTTGATATGTACTCCTGATATCTAATTTATAGACTTTTTTCACATGATGGCATCTTCTTATATATATACTTTCAGAGGAATAAATCAATGTTACTTAGTTGATTATAATAAAAATTTGGAAGTTCTTAGACATCTGGAGTCACTGTTAGCATATGCTATAACGTCATTTGAAGTTCCTTTTCCTTTCTTTCTTTTCTTTTCTGAACTCTTTTCCTGTATTGACAATAGGAGTTTGACAACTGCAGGTCTCACTCAAACACTCCGGATCTCTATTTATGTATGCAGGGCATAAGGGGGGAGCATATGCCAAGAATAGCTTTGGAAACGTGTGAGACAAATTGATCCTTGGTTGTTGTTGACAGTTGAAACTCATCTTCACTTCTATGTGTGCTGATTATTGACAACTTTATGCTTTATTATAGATATACTGCAGTTGGTGTTTTTGTTCTGGGTCGGATGTTTCACGAGGCTTGGGGTACTCAAGCAAGAAAAAAGCAGTCAGAGTTCAATGATTTTCTTGAGGTGGAGCATATTATTTTCTATAACATAGTTGACTACTTTCACGAGTACAAATGTATTCATGAGTACAAGTAGAGGGTCTGATGAATCTCTGATTTCATAAAAAGCTGTTTTGATTTGTTGTTGGATTTTGTTAACTTGCAGGTCCTTGTTTCCTTCCTTTTGTTTCTTTTAGAACTGTTTTGATTTGTTGTTGGATTTTGTTAACTTGCAGGTCCTTGTTTCCTTCCTTTTGTTTCTTTTAGAACAGCAGGCTGTAGCCTGGTAACTTAGAGGTTTTGCAGGTCCTTGTTTCCTTCCTTTTGTTTCTTTTAGAACAGCAGGCTGTAGCCTGGTAACTTAGAGGTTGAAAGGCTTAGGATTGTGAAGTATTGATCTGAGTTAGAATATCCTGGATATGCATCTTTGGTGGACAGTTAGTTGCTGACTTTAGAGTTCACAGTAAGGCAAGGATAGTTTTTAATATTGACGAGCCTTAAAATAGACTACTGGATAAGCATCTTTAGTGGACAATTACTTGCTGACTTTAGAGTTCACAGTAAGGCGAGGGAGGGAGGGAGGGAGGTTGATTTCAAAAATATTATAACATGCTGCATGAGAAAATCTTAATCCTTTTTTTTTCTTTAAACCATAATACCTGGTGTCATTCTTTTACAAGTCCTTAGAACATATAACATCATGAATACAAGAGAAACACTGGACGAAATGGTCTAATTATTTGAATGTTTTTGATAGCAAACATTCTTGGTTCACAGGAAATATTACATACCTGCAACCATTATTATATTGCAGAAGATCAAACAAACCTGAATTGAGACAGTATACATGAGAAGACCTATTTATTGTCTTGTTGGCGGCTTAAATTGATGGTGATATCCTTCCGTCATAATTCGTCTAAGTGCATTTGGTTCCATAAACATCATGATTTATAAGTTATGCAAGAACATGTTCCGTAGACCTTTGGTTTACGAGAATGTTGAAAATGGTTTCCTATACCCTAGAAAGTGGTATGAACCCAAAACAGGCCAAGAAAATTTTGAAGCCTCCTTGAGCAGTGAAAGATATTTCTGCAATCTTCTTCTTTTTCTAATGAACCAGTCAACCATTAAACCATTAAATTGTTTGTATTTCACATTGAATTTACTTCTCTTCTTATCAATAGATTAGTTGCCAGTTGAAGTAATTTGAATAGCAAATTTATTAGTCTTTTGTTTGGTACTCAGAGGTTGCTTCTTGTCTGAGATAGTGATGCATTGTTCAGTATATTGCTTGCTGGTAAATGAGCACTACACACATACAGTTACTCAAAAGTCTACAAGAGTTCACATGATGTGACTACTCTTCGTGCTGACTGTTAGAGAGTTAATATTATATTATTATGGTTTTCACTGCTCAATTAACTTCATTGCATATTTATCTTTTGTAGGAAAATCGTATATGCATATCAACGGAATTGGTTACTGCAGTTCTAGGAGATCATGGACAACGACCAATTGATGATTATGGTATGAGATCTTCCTAAAAAGGAGTATAGTTGGTTACACGCTTATCGATCTTACTAACAAGAATCATACTTAGAATACATAGTGTAAATATGTATGATAATTAATAAAACTTTTATACCTTATCATATTTCTAGTAAGTGATTATTCTAGTTTATTTTACTCTGATTTTAAAGTATCTCTAGGCTTTTTAGAGGATTTTACTTTACAATGCACTATTTAATCAAAGTACTTGTCACTATTCAGAATTACCTATAAATATGGGATATATGGCTATTAATGTGAACTTAATTTAGCTAATCATGTTTAAACATAGAACACAATTTTCACATTTACAAAATATAATATCAGTATGCAATGCTTTCTCCACTAAAGAAAATCATTACAAAACCTAAATTGACAATTCTTCGACTATTTCTTCTCTTGGACTGTCAAATATAAAATCCTCGATTTGAGCTTAAATTTACGCATGACATACCATATCTTAGATGAAGTAACTCAAGCAGTTATAGATCACGAGTGATCTGGACGGTTGGGAGGTTCCAATATGGTTCCCGCAGTTTTGGGTTCAATTTCCGTCTACTTATTTGGGGCTAGGCTAAATTACGATGCGACTTACACCCTAGAGTTTATGTTTGGTAGGGGGCTCAATCCCGGGGTTGCTTCTTGGGAGTGGGGACTCGAGTGCTCTAACCAAGCCTCGTTACCCAAAAGAAAAAGTAACTCAACCAGACAAACTTTAAATAACTGTTGATGCTCCACTTTCCCTTTTCATGTACTATTAGAAAAGTCAAATATCTCCTTTAATAAAATAAATTGTGTACCTAAGGAACTAGGTGAGCTCAGTGAATGACTGCATATGTACATAAAACTATAATAGATATAAAGTTTAGGTATCGAAATCATTTAGGATTTTACAATATTTAGATATTTGGTGATACTTCTATAAAAATTCAATTCACAGGATAAGCTACCGAAATAAGAATGTTCAAATTTCAAAATAACAAAATATCATTAATAATGCACCAAATTTCACTTTCAAATATTCATTTGTCGTAGAGCATGTTTGGTATGTGGTCACGTGTTTGGCAAATGACTTATTTTGGCTGAGAGTAGTGATAACCGCACTGCTACTCCACTACTTTTACATTATAAGAGAGAAAAGTGTGAGGTCCATTTTTCAATTGTTTTCAAATTGATGACTCATAAAGGGAGCCCAACTACTTTTGTAGTGTAGTAGCGTAAATGAGCAGTATAGTTATCATTATTTTTGGCTTACAAGCCACCAAAATGTAAGGTCGAGCACCCTAGCTTATTCTGTGGTAGCTTACAAGCAACAAGGTTTGATTGCGTAAAAGACCAATATAATTCTCATCATTTCGGTAAATTCCAAGCTTTATTTATCTCTCTTTAGCCTCATTAAATGTTGTGGTCATTTTGACAACAATGATGGCTCATTAGCCACCCATTTGCCAAACCGAATACTAAAATGGATTATAATTTACTAAATTTTCCAAATAGTTTGGCTTGTAATCCACTTGGCCTATAATCCATTGTGGATTATAATCCAAAGTTGACTAGCATACTCATAATTCATAATAATAACTGGGTTCATTGTGGATAAATTGTCACAAAGGCCAAATCCGGAAGGATATCCGCTACGCTACATGAGCTAAAATCTGCATAAATTTTTGAAGGCCACTCTATCAATACAAAATATCGAATGACATACTAAAAGGCAAAACAACAGTTCTATCAAAATAAGTACCCAAACAAACTTACAAAATAAATGTCAAGCACTGTCAGTTGTGGATTTGATATCGACACGCGTTTTGTCAAAATCAATGTCTAGAAAAATATGGTTCTCAGTATATCAACCCAAAGTTGTAAGAATTTAAAATTGTGAGCATACAATAATTAAAGTTAATATATCAAGTTCTATGAAATGTCTACACATGCACTCTAATAATGATCAAGTTAAATTTCATAAAGAAAACCATAAACATCCCAGCTTAAAAATAGCAATGACTCACTTTAGAAAATGGAGGGAGACACGAACCTACCTTATTAGCATGCTAAGCTTCTTGCACCATAAAAGGGACCCCTAGGCACGTGATCTAAATACGTTCTTTTTGCTTGAAACCTTTTAGTTCCAGCTAATATTGCTAATTATGTTCTCAACCTCTAAATCTCAGTTTCTCTGATATATTGGATTGGTGAATCATTGTCTGGCCAAGTATATTCCAGGCCACTTACACCATGCATTTACGTATAACTAAAAAAAACTGAACATTCAATTCATCTGAGCCCTTGAAAGATCACGTTGTACACGCAATTTTTCAATTAACGTGGAGCTATTTTTATTTTTTTAATTTAAGTTCATACTGAAGCAGACTTTGCAGCTAGTAACAGGTTGCCCTAGGCATTGAGTAAGTTGTAGTAGATACCTAGATTATACAGTATGCAACTCCAGGGCGGATGCTTATCATGTACACATGAAAAGCATTTTTTTTCAATGATCATAGAAACTGAAAATTGGTCATCTCAAGTATTATTAAGGTTTAATCCTAAATAGGAAAATATATAACAAGGCCAAGCCAGCTAATTCCTCATAGTGGGAGGCCCCAGAGGGATGGGAGGGGTGAGATTATCTAGCAAATACTCTTATAACATGCAACAATTTCTTTTGTGACTGTTGTGCCAAGTTAAATGATCTTTAACTGGTAGTCAATCATTTCTAACTGGATGAACAGAAAAACATAGGATTTTCTGTTCTATGTGCCCACCTGACTCATCATTTCGTGGTTATGCAGCTCTTGAACTTCTGGATTAACCAATTTTAACCTAGGCACTCCTATAGTTGTCGAAGCATATACTGATATACAAACATCAGTCCAGCTGTTGACTCCATTATATCATGTTCACAGTGGTATATAATCTATGTGCTCTACTTTATCTTCTATTAAATTAGTGAGCACCATGTCCTTTCCATGATTTTTAAGGTCTATTCCTTGTCCTATCTACTCCTTTGACTATAACTTGTGATTCCTAACAAACGTCGTATTTGTTGCACTTACTGTTCTTCATTTTACATATCCAATATTTGATTAATTGTCCGTCATTTGATCCCCAAATTGAAGCAACATCTAGCTTCTTGTAGATTTCCTCATTTATTCTGCTATCTTTTAGCACATTGCCATTCATCCATGTCATTGTTCCTTTTAGCTACACTGCATACTATGACTTGTGCTAACTGTTCTTCGCTTTACATTTCCAATATCTCAACCGATTGTTCCTCATTTGACCCCAAATTGAAGTGACATCTAGCTTCTTGCAGATATCCTCATTTTGCCTGTATCTTGGATAGGACAAGGAATAGAAGTGATATTTAGCACATTTTGATTAAACCATCTCATTGTTCCTTTGAGCTACACTGCATGTTGGTTGTATATCCATTATTTATGAAATTTTCTCTTTGACTAATAGTCCAGTATTTTATCCCAAAATTGAAGTGATCTCTTGCTTATTGCAGATGTCCTCATTCATAACCTATCTTTATGATATTGGCATTATTCCATCTCAACATTCTCATCTAAGCAACAGTCTGGCATGGCTTATTGTTTTTCCATTTTATGAAAAATTTCCTTAACTTCATAGATATTTTAAGTCAAAAAGTAATTTAAGGGCATTCTTCTTTAACTTATCATGCTTTGATTCTGAATTATTGATGCTCTGCAGAGAAAATGACCTCTTAGTTATTTCTTAGTTAGATATGTGACTTATTTCCCTACTTTTGCTAAAATTACAATTGGAGTGCCTGTTTTCTCATGTTAGGTTGTAGTCTGTTCAACTAATACAATGTCATCTGCAAAACTCACGCATCATGTGACATGTTTCTATTCTCAGATATGCCTAGTAAATTTATTCATAACTAATGAGAGATATAGTATTTGATAGGAATTCTAGATTTACTTGCTCTTTATAAAATCTTAATTTTTTTTACTGTTCCTGTTTGGCAGTTGTAGTAACAGCTGTGACTGAATTGGGCAATGGCAAACCAAGATTTTACTCCACTCCTGATTTGATCGCATTTTGCAGGAAGTGGCGCCTACCAACCAATCATGTCTGGTTGTTCTCTACAAGGTGAAGCACTAGATTTATTTCTGTTACTTATTGAAATAAAAATCCACGAATGTGAACTTAGATGCTTTGGCATTTTATGTAACAAAATGCTGAATTATTTGCATTAGCATTCTGCAGTTTGTTTTGTATTAAACTCTATAGACGGGAGCGTTATAGTACTTTGTGCTTTAACCCGTTTCAGTGGCTTTAATGAATCTCTCTCTAATTGATATTTCCTTAAGTAGCTCAAAACATCTAATTGTTTTCCTAGTTAATGACTGTGGTTTGCTAACTAACAGCTGCCCTGAAAACGAGAGTTTTAGCAGGCTTTGTTCTTCCAAGTTATTATTGATGCAAGAGGAGTATTTTTTGTGAAGATTTCTCAATAGTGATTCGTATTAACATAGGCAGTTGGATAGGTTGCCTTAGTTTCCTATTGGACTAACTTCCTTACCTATACTGATCCATTAATATAAGTTCAGCATATGGACCCAAGATTCATGGGACAACTATGGGACAAGGCGACGCACATCATTTTCTTGGGATTCCAGTCATAATCTGTGGCTAACAAAGGGACACATCTTCAATGATTTTGAGTTCAGAAGTAGTTTCTCATATAAGTTGGTCAAATTTCCTGACCCATACTCAATCTGCTAATAGTTGGATTAACCTGCCCCCACCCCATAAACAATCTATGATTATGAAATATGAAACTTTTGTTATGAAAACAATAATAAAATTGGGATTCGAGCTCCAATCTTCCAGAAGTCATCCTTTGTTACCAGAAAGAAACTTTGGTTTTTGTTATATGTAACTTCTTGTACTTAATTATTATATACACATCAACATTTTGCTTTTAGAAGAAAATATTGCCTTGCTAGAGACTTGAACCTCTATCAATTGTTGGCAAATGCAAATATGTGATCTATTGGCGTATGATATATATTAGGTTAGAAAATCATAAATAGAGAACTATCCCAGCATTTCATATGGATACGGGTAAAGGACTGATAACTATACTAGCTTGTTTAATAGATGTGATGGTGGGTTTGTTTTTTCATGATTCATACCAATTTAACCTCGGTTGGCATCTGCTGACTTGGCAGCGGGTTTTGTTGGGTCACAACCCCCACTAGGAGTTTGCTCTGCTGCGATGGCTAACCTCCCCTTCCCTTTCTAAAGTTTTATTTATCAAATGATTGTTTAGAGGGATACCGACTTTGGGTCAAAGATTTGTATGTTTGCATGTCATTGCATGATATTTACATATGTATATTCATGCTGGGACAGTTTCTAGGGGTGGCCCAGTTCATGAGGCTTCCACTATTGTGGGATCTAGGGAAGGTCAGATGTACGAAACCTTACCCCCGCTTTTGCGGTGAGGCTGTTTCCAAGATTTGAACCTGTCACAAGGCAGCAACCTTACCATTGTGCCAAGACTCATCCTCTCTGGCACAAAGTTTCTACATAGATAAATATTATTTGCATGTCTGTATAGTGTATGCACATCCTTGTATAGAGTTTCATATATCCAATGTGTACATTGGTTACATCCAAGTTTTTTTCCAGAGATTTAAGTGCCATCTGTTTAATGATTATGCCTCAGTATTAGTTGACACATTTTTTCTTTATTTTATTACTATGTGCTGTTCCTGCATGCCTAAATGTTTGGACAATGTTCATAAGGCAGAACAAAGAGGGAAAAAGTAAAAAAAAAAATGGAGAAAAAAAAGACTTGATTGTTATGTTTGAAAAGTCTATATTTTTTGATTAACTTGGTAGAGAGAAACAAGTCTTATTATACATTTTTGGTTCTTGTAATTCAAAGTTGTGACTGGAAAGTTCCTCTCTAATTTGCTTTATCTTGTAAAGGAAATCTGCCACTTCCTTTTTCGCTTCCTATGATGCGTTGTGTGAAGAGGGAACTGCCACACCTGTATGTAAGGCACTTGATGAAGTTGCTGACATTTCTGTACCAGGTAATTATGGTTTGAACCAGGAAATGTTGCATGCTGCTATTATGTCCGAATATGGTATTAGATAGCCTTTTGCGGAAGACATGATCAGAATCATACCTTCATCTTGTGTTATATTGCAACAGCTGACGCTGAAGATGTTTCACTTTTGCGTGATTCTTTCCTAACATGTTTTTTTGTGTATATATGAATATTCATCGTTTTGGCCCAGCATCAAAGGATCATGTGAAGGTGCAGGGTGAGATACTGGAAGGTCTTGTTGCTCGCATTGTTAGCCATGATAGCTTGAAACATATGAAGAAGGTTTTGGAAGATTTTCCTCCTCCACCTCTGGATGGATGTAAGTCTCGTCACTTTTCTACTTCTCGTCACTTTTCTACTTCCTAGATGAAGCTTATTTCCGTTTGCTTTCTGTAAAAGGAAAACCCTCATATCAATACCACGTGCCAATCACCTTGCTAGTATCCTGGCTGCTAAGTGGTTTGTTTACCTGATGATGGTTTACCAGTTTGGATACCCTTAAAGTGTGTTGGTGTTCCGTGATTGAGCAAAATAACCTCGGGCTGCTATGGTTTGAGTTCTATTTGTATTTGTCTTGTAGTGACTATTTGTCTATTAATACTATCTCCCGATCGTTTTGGGTCTTAACTCTGAAGTCTTTTGGTGAACTATCTAGTTCTTTGTTTCTCTTGGGTCTAGATCTGGACCACCCTGCATTAGTGGTTATCCTTTGTATATCTTGTTGGTATTGGATTTTCTACCTAATATTATCAAATTACAATGCAATGCAAATGCTCTTTTTTTGAACCCATATTAGCAATATGTTTTTCCTTACCAAGTATTATGGTGATGATTATTCAGCAGTTTTTCTCTTTGCCAGTTGCAAATGAATCTAGTTTATAACTTGTTTTAGCTTGGTTTGATGAGTTTATAGTACATAGATGCGGGCAGGAAGAAGCCCAAGGAGGAGGGCCAGCAGGGATCATGCGGCCCCCCCTCCCAACCAAAAAAAAGAAAAAAGAAAAAGAAAAAAAGAAACAAGAAACCAACCCTCCCACCCACCAAAAAAATTCCTCTGATGAATGATACTCGGTATCATGGTAGGTTAGCTTTCAATGTATCTCATTCATCTAAGGCTTTGCTGTATTACAAGTTTTATTACCAAAACAAAAAAAAGAAAAAAAGGAAAAAGGGTTTGGCTCTGATGGATGATACTCGGTAGCATGGTAGGTTAGCTTTCAATGTATCTCCTACGTCTAAGTCTTTGCTGTATTAGGAGTTTCGTGTGTAATGCACTGCTTCCGAGCCCAATTGATGTCAAGACAACACAATGTGTAATATATTTAGGTTTTTTAATATCAGTCCTTAAGTCTTTCATGTTATGAAATTAGTCCCTCAAATCATTAGATCTGCTATGGTTTTCCAATTCTTAAGTTATATAAAATCAGTTCCTTCAATCAAGAGAAGAAGTAGCAATTGAAGAGATTAACACGAAGCAATATGACAAATGGGAAAATACAATAGCAATCTCAATGATTTAAGGAATTCCAAAATAACTTAAGAATTGGGAAACTTTATAGCAATTTCAATGATTTGAGGGACTAATTTCAAAATATGAAAGGGGCTAATATAGAAAAACTCTTAATTAATTATGTGTATGTCAAGTTATATGTATTATTGTATTACAAAATAGTCAAAATAGCCCCTCCAATTAAATTAGTTAAATTGTTTAAAATTTTAACACTCAGTGGATATGCCAGTTAAAATGTATATTCTTGCCTATTTTAATACATAGGTGAAAAACTGCAGCTGACATTTATATATGATCTTTCAGTTAACGTTATATTATTTGATGTTGCAATAATTCAGTTGAGTTTTCTTAACTTCTTAAAATTTTAAATTAATATTAGAGCCTCTATATTGTTTAATGTGCATAGCTTATTAGCTTTTAAATGATTTTTTTACTAATTAGCTTTGGATTTGAGTTTTTTGAACTTGTTGGGATAGTTGGATTGAGTTACACAGGAGTATTTGTACCATCAAAATTACAGCGGACAATCTTTTTGAAATCAACAAACTGAAATAATGGTTTTCTTTTAGTTGACAATAAGCTTGAACTTATTTGCTCATTCATGACACTGCTTCCTAGACTTGTCCCTGGACATGGGCTATGGCCTAGGTTTGGCTTGTTTCTGGGTTTATAATCTATTGCTTCATCAGTGATTGAAGCAAAATTCTGTCCTAAACAATAATTCAGTTAACCATGTAGAGAGAAAACAGAACTGTACCTCCTCTGTCTATAAATTGCCAATATTGGAGCAAAAATTGCATCACACTAGTCATGCATATTCTCATTTGATCTTCTATCAAATCTCACTATCCTGCCCTGGGCATGGTTCATGAGTAAATCATGCCCTCTCCTTTTCTCATCTGACGATAGGCACCTTTCGATTTCTTACACTGATCGTAGTTCTGAAAACCGAGCTTGAAAACTGGATGCTTTCCAAGTTCAAATCTTGAAGAACAATGATTATGCCTTTCTAGCAAAGAATTCATAGGGGAACTATTTCATTTTGTTTTAGGTTCACATAATAAGATGGACTCTTCATCCTATTTGTGTTATACTTATTTGTAATTTTATTTCATCTGCTAGCTACTTTGCTATACCACAACCTTATGGATTAGTTGTTTTTACGTATTTAATTTGTTATATTCTACAGACAACACATGTCTTTATACACGTACCAATTGGTAATTTCCATGTTATGGATATCACTTGTCATTAATTTTTCATATTTTGATTGAATCTTTGTTATTATATTTTTAACTTCGTTGTGTTTTTTCCCCTCTTGAGATCTTTTTAGCTTATATGTGCCTTTTTTCCATTGCGTGGTGAGGGTTTCTAACCTAATAACTCACCTAGGAAAAAGGTTACCTATGCCTAGCCTGCTTCCAAGTCGTTTTAATTGCCATTCTGACTCAAGCGTAAAACCCACTTATTTCTTTTCTTATATATTTATTAAAAAAGTTTGAAAATTTTCTTGACTTGAAAAAACTGCTTGATCTTTCATTTCCATTATATATAATAGTTACTTCCTTGCGTAGATAATCTTCCAATTTGACTGAAAAGTGGTTACATGGTCAGCTTATATGGCACAAGTTCTTGTTACAAAGTTGTAAAAATATGATACATTTTTTATCTATTCTCGCAGGTGTATTTTGGCAGCTTAATTATGTTATTTGTAGATAAAAGGCTCTGTAGCTGCAGCTGCTGAAGTAAAATAGATGTGAAGATACATGTAAAATCTTTCCTACTTATTATGTAGTAGCTGTTGAAGTAATAGATATGGAAATATATGTATAGTGCTCGTCATCTATGATCTATTTATTATGCAGTTATCTCTATTTGCGTCTTTACGTCACTTTTATATATATATTCTATAGAATGTAAAATGCAGTGTTTTTAAGAATAAAATTTCAAAACTCCTTGCTACTGCTGCAGTGGGTCTTGATTTGGGGCCAAGTTTGCGTGACATATGTGCCGCTAATAGATCTGATGAAAAGCAGGTAACTTGACCTTACAAATTTTGTAAGGTTCTAGATGCGAGGTATTTTATACATGAGCTGATTAGTAATTTCCACATCCCCACATAGCAAATAAAAGCGCTTCTTCAAAGTGCTGGGACTTCTATATGTCCAGACTTTGCTGATTGGTTTGGAGATGGAGCTGGTGGTGCCCATTCTCGAAATGCTGATCGTTCTGTTCTTTCTAAATTTCTACAAGCTCATCCCGCAGACTTCTCAACCACTAAATTGCAGGTAGACTTTGCTTATTGGTTTTTCTTTTTATTATTATTATTAGAATTGTCATTGGTTAATAAAAGTAGAATTTTATTGTCTCTAAGAGAACATAACTTTGTTGGCACACATATTGCAACATATCCTACTAAGAATAAGGTGTCTGAAGTAACTTCTATGCAACTCATCTTGAACGATTATAAAACCATCAGCCATAATGGATAATTGTCCAAACGACTCTTGCCTTGCAAATGTTATAACATATTTTTAACACAAGCTATTAGTTTTCATTAGCTTTGCAGAAAATCTTGGGACAGGGAGCTTCCTTAACCTAAGGATTACTTTGCCTTATTTGCATGATTGTTAGATATATGCACTCTGAAGTTCCCCTTTTTTAAGTTGATGGTTGATTCCTTTTGTTTTAGTGAATTGTCTGATATATTATTTCAGAAGAAATCTATAATGCTATCCGTCCAACTTCTGCAGGAAATGATCCGCTTGATGAAGCAAAGACATTTTCCAGCTGCATTTAAGTGTTATCATAATTACCACAAAATTGAGTCCCTTTCAAGTAATAATCTTTACTTTAAGATGGTTATCCATGTGCACAGTGATTCTGTTTTTGCGACGCTATCACAGGAAATGAAGGTTGTTTATTAAGTAATGTTTACTTTTGAATTCATTGGAATTTAAAGTGTTGTCTTTCTAGTTTAAGATATAAAGATTTTGTTCAAAGTATAATACCATCTTCATTTATCTTACAGGAAAAACCAAGGATTGTGGCCACTGTACAGGGGTAAGGAGCAATCTCCTCTCTATCTCCCTCTCTTTCTACACACACATTTTTTCTCGTGGTTCTAAATTTACTTTGATTTGTTTGTTTACAATCCCTTTGTATATTATACTTGTATTTTATAAATTTATTTACCTTGATTCTTTGAGGATGATATTTCTTAAAAACTGCTTTCACTCGTTTCTCTTCTAGGATTTTTCGTCGATGTTAATGTATTTAAAGTCAACAAAGAGAAGGCTGCAGAGGTATCAAAGGACAGTAACTCACTTCTTAAAAATGTCAACGGTACCCATGATTCTAGCTCGTCAGTTGATGGTCTCGCTGATGAGGATGCAAATTTAATGGTGAAACTAAAATTTTTGACATATAAGGTATGTGCTTCCTAGTAAATGCTGTGAACAAACTGCAAAAGGTTTTATCTCTTATTGTTGGTGAAGGACTGCTATATTAGAAGAATTCTATGTTCTATAGTGTAACATCAATACTTTAGATCATTCGTCGTTTCATGGTTTATCAAGTTAGATTCTGTTTACATATAATATATGTCATATAGAAAGGGAAGTAGTATTATTCATTTAATGATTCCTCTAATTTTTTTCCCCTAAAGAGTCTTTTCCATTTCCTGTTGCCGATATTGTGCGACAAATTTCCATGGAAGTTTAGTTGGAAGTTGGAAGTTGGAAGTCTGTTTTGTACTCACCTCATTTTTAACTGTAACATGTTTATTAGTCCTCCATACAGTAATAGGAATTAGTTCTGAAGCATTTCTTATTGTGTTTAGACTTCAACCTAAACTGAATGATGTTCCCGCCTAGGTCAACCTAGTTCTAGTGAAGTTCCAAGTAAGTAAATATATATAAAATATACATACTGATTGTTTTACGCATTTAACAATGGCCTTTCTTAAGATCTGTCCTAAATGTTCCTAAGTACGAACTATATTTTCTTTTTGGAGTGGAGGGTTTAGCACGGCTTTAACAGAATACATATCTTGACCTCTTGGTCGACTGCAAGCGGCTTTACCTTTCTGGTTGGATCAATACGTAGTAATTTTTACGCAGTTCTGTGCATTCAAATTCATTAAACACCTGCAGAACTAGCAGCCCAATATTTAATTTTTGTGTGCTCTATAGTTTACTGCATGCAAATAGTTACAATTGGTCACCTTTTGAAAATCATGGAAATTACTTGGTTCTGAGGCCGAAGTGAATTGTAATACTCACAAAGTACCCTGAATATCTAGTTAATGGGCAGAAACTCTAGTTGTTCTATATGGTATTTGGTTCTTTCAGGGTGGTTAATCTCATTTATTGGGCTTTTTTTTTTATCATGTTATGCTATCTGTGAATAATGTAGCACTGGTATAATGAATGCACATTCTATAAACTATGGTCCTGGGTCTGAAGCAGTTTTACTGTTCTACTTATAATAAATTTAGAATGACCTTTGGAGTCACATCATATTCCACTTGTTTCTTATCATAGTCATTTCTACACAGAACTACAAGTAAGCAGAACTATAAAATCTATTACATCGCAGATGATAGTCTAGCGGTTGACATGTTACCCTTTGCCTTATCATCTTAGCAATTCTGTCTAGATCAGAACGCATTTCTTTTGAGTTAACTCAAAATACATAGTGGCTATGCAGAAAGCTCAACATTAATTCATTTCAAAGAAAGGCTTAGTAAGCAAATGATGGTTAATTAGTTTGAGCATTGTATGTTATCAAGCAAGTCAGGTTACCACCACCTTCTTCTTCTTTACATGTTGAAAAGGAGCATGCAGTTCCCTGTTCCTAGACGGATATATGTGTGGCAAGCTTTGTGTCCCATCAATTGTTGTTGGATGCTATCCTGGAGGTTTCTAGAAGTTCCTAATGCATGTTTGATGTCAGGGATGGACTTTTATGATTTTCATTATCGTATGAGATTTATTCTTCACTTTGTTGGGTTTGTTTCACATTAATGAAGCTAGTTTGTGTCCAATTAACTATTTTCAGATGTTATCCTGGAGGTTTCTAGAAGTTCCTAATACATGTTTGATGTGAGGGTTAGGATTTTTATGATTTTCATTAATGTATGAGATTTCTTATTCAGTCTGATGGGTTTGTTTGACATTAAAAAAGCTAGTTATTTAATATTTGAAGGGGAAACCAGGTTTACTTTCTCTTCTCAATGAAATAGCTAACATGCCTTAGGAGTAAAGAGCTACATGATCTGAACTATGTCCTGTACATCTTCTTATCGTTTTCCAGTACATGGAATCATATGGTATGTCCTCTGCCCATCCTTTTGCTTGTTTCTGGGTATTCTTATGAGGATCCACTTATCTAATTAAAAAATATCAGAAGAAAGGGAGAATTTGTTGAAATGTGGAATTTTATAACTGTTTTAGTGCCTTATGGTTGTGATTGCAGAATTCGTTAGGATCCTTATGGTTTTTATAATCCTTTAGACATGGTACTAAAATATGCATGGTCCTTTTGCCTGAAGGAGTTTTTCTCATGCATATATGAAGCATCAATGAACTGAACCTTTATCTTACCAGTCACTACATCTGTTGAAGTATCAAAATCGACATACTTTTACTGCATGGTAACTGGATTATATATCTCAAGCAATAGCCTTGCCTTCAGTCTAATAATTACTTTGAACAAGTCTGACCCTTGTTGAGTGATGAGACATTGATTGGAAAATTCAACATATATTTGCTTCTTGCTTTTGTGCATCAGAAAAGGATTAGTTCCTATTAGCAACGTTTGATCTACATCTGATCACCTTCCTTTTTTTAATGAATGTATTTTGGATCCCTTGTTACATATATTTGCTATTTAGATTTCTGTCCAAGTTATCAACTACCTTATGATGACACTCCTTTCTTTGTTAGCATGTCATCCCCTGTAAATTTTGATGCTTGTTTAAACATGCAGTTGCGCACATTCTTAATCCGGAATGGTTTATCTATACTTTTTAAAGATGGCCCATCAGCTTATAAGACATACTATTTGAGGTATGCCACCTATTTTACATCTTTAGACCACTTTGGTAAATTAAGTTTTGTATTTTATTAATTGTATGATATATTAGAGTATTAGTTTCTTAGTTATCATCATTCTCCTCATCTTCATTGCAACTAACCATTATGGAAAATATGATGAATTTTTTACCAGACTATCTTTCATTTATCTTCTAAAACTTTGCCAATTTTCATAATCATCATCCCATCTAAGCATTATGTTTGCTGGTGCATTCTGCAGTAACCGTTCCTAGACATTTCTTGACATTATCTTGATTGTTATATTTGACAGGCAAATGAAAAATTGGGGCACTTCAGCTGTTAAGCAGAGGGAGCTTAGTAAAATGCTGGATGAATGGTAATTGTTACACTGCTCTCTTTTTTAAATAAACAAAATAGGTAGTTGCAGATTTAACTGCTACCAAAGCCAGAAGCATGTAAGCAACATTTTGACAGTGACATTACCCTTCCCTTGCACCAGTGTTTTACTGTACTTCATCATTATGCATATGGACACAAAAAGGCAATGATGCATATGTTAGCTGAGATCTTTTTTCACCAAAACAGTCTCTATGTGCAGGGCTGTTTATATTCGACGAAAATGTGGAAACAAACCCTTGTCTTCGTCCATATATCTTAGTGAACTTGAACCTTTTCTTGAGCAATATGCTAAACGCAGTGCCGAGAACCGGGCTTTGGTAGGAGCTGCTGGGAATCTTGTTAGTTCTGAGAACTTTTTGGCTATAATTGAAGGAGGTAGAGATGAAGAAGGTGATCTACATCTAGAGGCAGCGATTCCTCCTCCTGCCAGTTTGGACAGTGTCCCGAAACATGAGGGTCTTATTGTATTCTTCCCAGGTGCGTTTCTTCTGAACGACATTGAAGTGTGATGTGCACCTTTTAAGAAGTTGGTCTTTTATAACAAACAGAGTTCTTAATGAAGAGCATCTTCAACTTCTTGGGAACCAAAAAATACATCCTTAAGTATAGTTCAACACCTGACGTATAACAAACCAAGGGCACTCCTGACATATCTGGAAGGGGTTTATTTGTATTAAGATGGTGTAAACATTATTTGCTTGGAAATGTATACAATGTCCAGTCTATGTCAAATGGTTTTTAATATATTTCTTAAGTTGGACATGCTCAAACTGTCTTCAGTCATAATCTAAAACTTCTAGTCTGCACAGAGCTGCTATGTGGTTTGTTGATAATTTTACAATCGGCATGCCTCTGGTGTGTCCAGCACATCTTCATGTAAATATTAGTGCCGGACATGTGTTGGCTAGGTGTTGTAACAACTGACTAGTTACTGTAACAACTACAATCCAAATGCTGCAGAAATATAGGATCCTCCACCTGGCTATTTCAAAGCTTCAGAAGTACAACGATTGCAAATCACTTGTTATGTCAGAATCAATATGTATAATCTTCTCATTAAAATTTATCTTATGCAATGGCATAAATTGCTGGATCAGTTTTCAAATAACTTTCACAGCGCAAAGTCCACCAGAGATTGCACAAAGTAGTTTAAAAAAATCCCGTGACAGTAAATCATGGACAAGGATTTCATGTACAAGCTATTACATCTTTCCTTCAACTCCTCACAATAGCAAAGCAACGGTGGTCACTATAAAATGGAAAATGTTTGGCAAGTCATACGGAGACATCTGTTTCTTCTGCAGTATCATTTTCATTTACTTCATACATTATTTTGCAGGTATACCTGGCTGTGCCAAGTCAGCTTTATGCAAAGAAATATTAAATGCTCCTGGTAGTTTTGGTGATGATCGTCCTATCCACAGTATGATGGGTGATCTTATTAAAGGTATTCTCTTTTGATTGTTCATGTTTTTTTTATGGTAGGTTACAATTTCAAATGCATGTATTTCCGAACATATTAAGTGCCAAAATTCAAAGTATCAACCTCGTTTGATTTATTTTTTAGATTAACTAATAATTATAGACTGCCCTAAGGACTGACTAGCATGAATACAGACACGGGTATGGTGGACATGGATACGGAACACTTTAACTCTGCGCAATGTGGGACGTGACGAGTCTGACGACATATCAATGTTATGTTAGAATATATATGTATACGCACACGCGTCTATATACACACACACATACGTATTAGAGAGAGTTTTTGGCTAGACTGTACTCAATAGTGTACAAAATATGGAGACCTAGATACTATAAGTGTAGTGTTAAAATCTGGATCCAAAATTCAAATTTCTTACTATTGGATATGATGTAATACACATGAATTATATAGAAACAATTTTTAATTATTTTCGATGTGTCTTAGATCATAGTTCATAGATCAAGGGGGCAAATTTAAGCAACTTAATGGAAATTATAAAACGTTTATGTTGGCAACATATGCGACATGGGTAAAATATGTTGAAATCCTTTGAAATTTATTTATGGATAGTTCATGTGCCCTACTCTTTGGATTTTCAATATTTGGAATCCTAATTTTGAATTTTGATTGATAGTATCCAAGTGCTGGATATTACTAACAAACTAACAGTAGCATAGTTCACCTCTTGTGTGGGTGGGAGTGTTGAGGGGTAGGTCTGGGCCCTCTGGAGCTCTTGAGAGTGCGTGGTGCGTGTGTGTATATATAATTACGATAATAAATAGAGTTCATATACATGCATATATGTTCATGCAATCATGAATTAAGAGTCAAAACAATTATTTATTAAAATATAAAACAGATTTTGATAGCATATAAATAAATAGAGTTCATGTACATGCATATGTACACATGTTCATGCAATCATGAAGTAAGAGTCAAAACAATTATTTTTAAAAATATAAAACAGATTTTGATAGCATATATGCTGCCTCCCATACATTTTTATGACTTTGCTGAAGCAATATGACTTGAATCTTCAACTTGATACGAAATGCTTGATACAAAATGTTTATGCATATCTAAGCTAAGTTTATACAAGTCCACATTTATAGCATTTTCTAGTATAGTCTTTGGTGTATAACTGAAATGCATCTCAAGCATATAATGACAAAGAAGTGCACGTCAAGTGTTGGATAAAATCATAGAAGTGTATGACGGGTGTTTTAAGTTGAAATATGTATTATATGATTGGGGACATGTTGAATAAGTTCATGCATATAATAACATATGTGAGGACTAAGGAGCGTCCATGGAATTAGGTGTCCTGTACAGGTGTGAGTTTGGGACATGGGTACAGGCAGCTTCATGATTGAAATACACGGTACATATCCTATGGATAATGCTTATGCTTCTTCATCCTGCTCCAGATTTCTGTTTCAATATTTATCTTTAGAGCAATGATGACGACAACAAAGGACTTTATCCAAAATCTCTGGGACCACCTAGATAAATCCTTTTCCTCTCATCTTGTAAACTAATTGCTTCAGCCATTTGACATGTCTTCTTTCCACGTTCTTGGCTTCTTGCATTATCCATCCATCCTAGGTGATTCTCAAACGGTCGTTGTTGCACATACCCAGCCCACATCAATCCGCTTTCCTTCATTTGTCCTCTCCTGGACTTTCCTCTAATTTCTTACGTCCGTGGTCATGTCTTGGCGTACCTTTGAGCTTTCTTTTACCCATCTCAACATTCTCAATTTAGCTGAAATTCACTTTTTTCTGATTTTTTTTTGTTATACCACAAAGCATAGCTAGTTATATTATCTTCTTGTAAAGTTTCCCATCAATAACTACGTTACTATATAGGTAGAACAGTTCGCATGGTAAAACATATACAGAGATACTTCTAAAGACAATGTTTGTTTGTTCGTGCAAGTATTCCTCTGGGTTTTCTCATCAGAAGAATTCAGGAAGAAGTGTTTGTGCTGTTATATTTATTATTTGCAGATTAAATGGTAAATAAAGCATAGTTAGCTCAAAACAAGAATTCCAACATAGTAGAACAATACAGTTAATAAGTATATGAAATACTTTTGCATAAACCTTGTTTGTGCCTTACTTCAACATCTTAAATTGTATTTGCAATTAAATGATTCAATTCGATAGCTTCCAGACACATGCAAACTTCCAGTTACGAGTAACAAACTGTGCCTTAAAAATGTTCTCTTCAGCAAATGTTTCAGTAACACGACCATACTATATAGTCCTCATGTACTTAATATCCAATGAATACGCATCAAGTAACGACTAAAAAAATTATCAATAATTAAGTCGATAATTGTAGGATAAAATTTCCACTATATTGTCAGAATGGGAATCTTATGTTTCACTAATATAAATTCATTGCAGGAAAATACTGGCAAAAGGTTGCTGATGAGTGCAAGAAAAAGCCTCAAGCCATAATTCTAGCTGACAAGAATGCACCGAATGAAGAAGTGTGGGGACAAGTAATGTGTTACTCGCTTTTTCAGTTGATATATTTGTTTTGATTAGCAAATCTTTATATCATGTTTTGATGTATCTTAATGCTATTTCTGTTTTCCAGATTGAGGACATGTGCAGGCGGACAACAGCCTCTGCTGTTCCTGTTATACCAGAATCTGAAGGTTCCAATATCTATATATTGCATATTCTAAGTAGATACTTCTATTTTGATTACTTTCTCTGCATGAGTCTATTGATGTTGTTAACATCTGAAGTTTCGTATCCACCCTATTGGATAACTCTATCCTTATGCTGGTCAAAGTTCATGTTTTATGTTAAATACAGAAAATCACATCCTCCTAACTTGGATGGAGAAGTTCATGTTTTATGTTAAATACAGAAAATCACATCCTCCTAACTTGGATGGAGAAGCTTAAGTATCTGTTTAATTTTTAGAAACCAATAGTTTTCATCCTCCTAACTTGGATGGAGAAGCTTAAGTATCTGTTTAATTTTTAGAAACCAATAGTTTTTTATAGCATTGAAGTCACATGTTCTTCTAATTGCTAATTATGTAATATTTGTATTCTACAGGCACAGATTCAAATCCATTTTCTCTTGATGCACTGGCTGTTTTTATGTTCCGTGTTCTTCAACGAGTCAACCATCCGGTAGTGATGTTTATGTTTTCATATTAATTGGAGACATACTTGTTTATTGTTAATGAAAATTTCTGAAGCTGTTCCTGATTTTGAAGGGAAATCTTGACAAAGGTTCACCAAATGCTGGCTATGTTCTGCTTATGTTTTACCATCTTTATGAGGGCAAGGCAAGTGGCTATTATGTTTGATGCAGCTTGGCATTTTAATCTTACTAGTTTTCATGCACATGCAATACACGTAGTTGAATACTATGATTAAGTATTTTTTATTTATTTCCTTACTAAAATTTATTTATCGGTCTCACCTTGGTGGTGTTTGCTCATTTATGTCTCTAAACTTTAGCATTGTGATTGTTTTTCTTCGATTTTTATTTAAATGAACTACATCTAATTTAAATTTTCATGTTGATAATTAAATTGACAGGAAACAAATGTAATTCGAAGCCAATTTGAATTATCATGTTATTTCGACCGACATGAAACTAAGCTTGAGCTGAGAAAGTATAGTGTTGCAAAAGTGAAAAACACTTCAAAAAATAGCGTTATAAAAGGACGATGAATAATTAAAGCTAATGAGACAAGATGATTGTTTAGAAGTGAGCTAAAATGATACAAAAGAGAATATAGAGTTTGTTCTTAATCCTTGATAGACTTTAAAAAATTATAAACTTAAGATTAATCCTAACTCTAGTACACTTATATAATGAAAGCATCCACAAAAGCATCTAAAAGTACTAAAAAATTCATGCAAATTCCATCTAAATATTCCTAATTTACTCAAAAAAATAAATTATTCTATAAAAATATGTAGAAAGCAGGGTCTTTCATTCCTTTTGTTTCATTTTTTATTGAGCCGACACCAATCCTTCTTCACATTTATCTTTTTCGATAAAATTAGGTAACTTTTAGATACTGAAAAGAGATAGTAAACCTTAAATTGGAAGTTAAATTTATATATCTTAATGGAAAAAGTATCAAATAACTACTCTTTTCTTTGCTAAGTTTTAAAAATTTAGTCAAGTTTTTGTGATTTTGAATTTTTACGTGTTTTGTAATTTTTAAAAGTTTGTGAGTATTTTAAAAAAAATTAAATTTTAAGTTTAGTGCTTGCAATTTTCATGTTTCATGTGTTGGTTGTAAGTTTTCAAATGTCAAGATATGTCTTACAACTCTAAAATTTTGAGGGCGTTTTTTTTTGTAATTATTGAAATTTTGGATTGTTTGTTATAAAATTTGTGCTTTTAGCGGTCTACTGATAAATTCCAAATTTGATATGTACTGGTCATAAGTTCTGAAATTTCATAGTTTTTTGTTATTTTTAACTTTTTAAGGAAATTTTTTTGCAGTTTTTATAACTTTGAGGTTTTTTACAAATTTTAATTTTTTAGGTGTTTGATTGTAATCTCTTGAATTAATCTTTGTTATTTGCAAGTTTTGAAAGAATTTCGGGGTGTTTCTACAAATTTTAAATTGTTGAGGGTGTTAATTATAAATTTTAAATTCTTTGGAGGTGACTGTTAATTTGCAAATTTCATGTTTGTTATATTAAGTTTTAAAACATCAGGATTTTTGTGTAATTTTAAATTTTGAGGGTATTTTGTGTAATTTTTAAAATGTTTTGGATTTTTTTGTAATATTTCACATATTACAACATGTTAGTTCTTTACCTTTACAAAGTAATATCGTGGAGCTATTTCATGTATTAATATTTTTTTTAAGTGTTGATCTGTAGTAGTTCACATGAGATTAGGATATGATATAATTATGATTAGGCTAGATTAAGATTTAAAAGATATATTCAAAATAGTGAAGGGCAATGCTGACCATGAAAAGTTTTTCCTGAACTCGTACTTTTAAAGAGTATGATATGATTTATTGTCAATCTTGTCCTCGTAATCTTCTCAATTATTTTGCAGAACCGCAAGGAGTTTGAAGGTGAACTCTATGAACGTTTTGGAGCATTGGTCAAAATGCCTTTGCTCAAGATGGATAGGTAATAATAGTTTTTATGGTGATGTTTACTTGATTAATGGTTAAGATTCTTGTCTGACTGAGACAAATTTCTCATATCTGCATCACGATATCTTTTACCCATCAACTTATGGAAAATGTATTTTCCCTCCAAATATGTTGGATCTGATTTTTTTTTAAAGAAATTATTGAAGAATATAGCATTCATGATGATGATTTGCTCATCATCAAAGTTGTATCCATCAAAGTGTAATTTCTTTGTAGCATAACTCTGTAATGAGAGGGACACGAGAAACTTCTCTGGAGAGTTTGTCAAGAGGTTGAACATTCAAGTAATGTTCCATGTTTCTAGTAAAATAAACCATGGAGAAAGGAGGGGTTTGTCTTTGCCATAGAACCAAGTAGATCAGTTGGCCGTTTGGAAACTATGGAGGGGTTTGTCTTTGCCAAAGAACCAAGTAGATCAGTTGGCCGTTTGGAAACTATCTACTCGTTATGCACTATAAAGCTCATTTAAACACACATCTAACTTGAAAATTCTTCTAGATCCGAAGTTAATGGAAGGGTGAAGATGCTCAAACTTTTCTACGTAATTCGGAATTGTAGGAAGTGCCATATGATGGAATCATTTCAGTTTCTTTTGAGTTTGGTGGTGGCTGGAAATGTGATTTCGTGAGATTTAATGGTTGTGGTATCTGCTGTCATGTGAGGTCGAAGTTCAATCCATTTTGAAGTATAGCTACCCAAGCCAGAATCTTGGATCTAACAACAGGTAGCACAAATACGGCAAATTTGTAAAATGTAGGATACGGGGCCATTTTTACACACAAAAGATCAAATATTAAAATACCTTTAACATTTGTATGTTTCTATCTATTATTTATAACAATTAAGAATCAAGTTAAATCAAACTAAGAATATGGTTTAACAACAAATGTTTAGTTTTGATTGCATGGGATAACACGATGGGTATTCCTTCAAATATCTAAGTAACAAGTTTGGTTTTGAACTCAATATTACCAAAGAAACTAGCTTAGGGTATAAGGAATAGGGAAATTAGGTTTTGCTTTGAACCACACGTGTCCATGGCGTGCCCGCAGGGAATCCGTGTCTAACACGTGTCGGACAAGGGCACGGCATCCAAATCGCCGCGCTGATTAACCTAGATCTAACAAATAGTGGCAGAAGCTTTTTGTTTAGCTTAGGTGCTTTCCTAGTTATCCTGTCCAGCTGCATCTGTGTGAAATAAAATCCATAATTTGGTGGGACTTTTTATGATTAAGATACTGTTCTTTGCTCGTTTTTGTCATTGAAATCTTTTCACATCAAAAGATATTAGCTTATACAGAAGGATTCAGTCAAGAAGGCTTGACTAAAAGTCGTGGACTTGTGATGGTGTTGGAAATGGTGTCAACCTGACAATCCTCACTCCTTAATGCCAGCTTCATGCTCCAGGGAAACTGCAAGTTACAGTCCTGCATGAAATGCTGATGACCACTCAGCTAGTTGATGGAGAAACCTTCTGCCTTTCAGCTTCGGCTCTTCGAGTAATAAAACATCATCCACATTCCTCTTGACCATAAAAGAGTTATTGATGAAGAGTAAGATGTTAAATAGTGAACAGGGAATTACTTTCATGTCTTAGCCAACAGGTAATAGAGTAAAAATAATATCCCATAAATTAGTAAACAAGAATAATCTAAAGTTTAACAATAAAAATCTACTGTACTGCATGTAAACAAGACGATGTTTGACTCCAACATCATATAACAATTGAACAGAACATATGTGGTTTCTGAAAGCGAATACATGTTCGGTAACTGGATTTCTTAAGCAGAAGTCCTAAAAGAAGTTTGCAAAATTAAAGTGGATCAAGCCGGTCAAATTGCTTATTGCTTATGTAAGGGGGCGATGCATCACAACTAAATTTCATTATGAAAGAAATGAAATAAAAACTGAAAAAGAAAACCTCATTAGAGTTGAATCAGGAATATTCTGTGCAATATGACTAGGGAAAAGAAAGAAATCTCCTGCTCCAAAGAATTATCTCATTTCTTTTCCGCTGCAGATCTTAAAGGAAAATAGGGACTCCATAATCACTGATTAGTTTGTCAAGATAACAAAAGTTTGGATGCAATTGCATCAAATTTTTAAATCTGATGGCTCTAGACTGATCAAGATGGATTTTTTAATCATGTCTTGGTTGTGTAGTGTTCTCGGTTTCTTTAGTTTCTCTTCACTAAATACCCAGGCACTCAGAATAATACAACCTCCTACGGTAGTGGGAAAATATTTATTTCATAAAGATTTTAGTTCAATAATATGATTGCATGCACTAGTCTAATTACTTGATAAGAAAAATTAATTAGTGAGTTTAAAAGAATTATTCAAGTTAGAATGAAAAGCCAACTCAGTAGCAGACGTAGAAACCAGCAAACTTCTTGAATAAATGAGACAAATCTTTTTCACACTACGCCTCTTTTCCTCCTGATCTTTCATGAGATGGAAGGCATCAAGATTCTCTTTATTATAAGATAAGTACTGAGAATTAGGAGGATGCTTTCCACCGTCAACTAGCATGTTTGTTGTGAGGGTGTAGGCGTCTAAAAATGCCTATAGGTGTCCGCACACAGCTCGAGACAAAAAGAAGACAATGAATGTTATCATTTGAGTCAAAGAGGATCGTCTGAAGCCGTAAAGAGGCTAACGAGCACACGAAGTAAGTCAGCGAAGCGTACAAGTCAACTGAATGTCAAAATACGCAAAACGACGCAAAAGATCTCTAAAAAAAGCTCGGAAACCGCGCAGCACGCGAGTCACCCAAAGGTGACCCATGGCCGCGCGGGTCACCCCGGGCTGACCCGCGCCCAGAAATGCCTCGGTGCCCAAAAACATGTATTTTGATGATTCTTTCGGGATTCTTCGTTCCAAAGGTTCCCAACTGTCTTGATATTATCTCTACATGTGGGTAGGCTGTTATTGACTGAAGATAAGGCCAAATATCCCATTCTCATCCAAATAACTGCATCCGGAGCCTTATAAATACAAGCCTAGGACCTTCTTTCAAATGGGGCGAATTATTATCAAGACGAGGAGGTGCTGCTGAGTTGCAAGAGAGCACGAATTTCAGAGGAGGCTAGCTGATCTCGGCGAAGTTTTTCAGCATAGAGAGGGAGAGTTCGAGAGATCTGAAGCCACGTCCCCCCATTCCTTGAGATTAAGCTTGGTCTTAATCTCGAGAAGAGTACTGATTTCGCTTGGTCGATATCAGTACTTTAGCGAATACTTCCTTGGTGAAGTAGGAGCTCTGATCAATTATTTTGTCAACCGGATCTGATCCGTAGGCGGTCCACGGATATCAACGTCCCCGACACAGTCAAAGATCCCATGCAAACAGAAATTAATAAATAGGATCTATGTGTTGTTTGAAAGAGATTGTAATTAGTTATTTCCATTGTGTAAAAGTCTTATAAAAAGACTAATTTTTTGTTGAGTTTATTGTAACGCCTGAAGTTGTAATAGATTCAATCACAATGAAGAAAATAATTTCTGACCCAAACAGAGGGTAGAAAGAAATTGTTGCTGCATAGACAGATGTCCAATGTATATCACTCCTATCTCCTTAAGCTTCACTTGAGTGCCAGGCAAGGAGGAGAGGATAAAGAAGGTGTATCAAGTTATTACAGTATTTATAGATTATCATTTGTCTTCATGGCTTCTTCAAATTATGACCAAAATACATAAAAGAGCCTCACACGCAATGGAAGTGTTGGAAATCTCCAACTGTGCCAAGTATATTTAAACTAAGAGAGTATATGAGAAAGCATTCGATTTTATGCCTATTGGTAATTCCTGAGATAAAAAGTTAAAAACAGCTTCACTGGATTTGTTTTCCTTGTATACTTCTGTAGCTAAATACCATCCCAACCTATTGAAACCTTAAAAATATGCATAGCTTGTCTGATCAACGTGCAATGTTGTAGAAAGATCAAATAGAGCGGACATGTAGATGGATTGGTGTATACCAATAGGAAGGGATTCTACAAGAAGTTGAGTAAGAGTCTGAAATATATTATATATTGCAGAAGTTTTATTTTCCTTTTTTTTCAAGTAATGAGATTTAGACCAAGGAATGGTTTTCTTATTGTCTTCTAAAGCATGGATTCTACTGCAGAGTCCTAAAGATCGGTGTTTTTTTTTTTTTGCTGTGTGTAGTCACAATCTGTTCTGTAGAATTTTACATTCTCTTTCCCTCTTCTCTCTAATAAATCTCTTAGTTTATTCTAGATTTGTAAACCCTTGTATTTGTGTTGTTTCATAATGATTCCACGTACAGCTTCGAAGCAAAATTACATGTTGAAATTCAAAGTTCATCTTTTCGTCTCTTCCTCATATCTGTGCTTGCTAGTTTTTAGCCATCACTCTTATCTTGCACATTTCCAAGTTTCTTAAATTATCAAAGATTACTCACAACAAGTTGCTGGGAGCAAAATAATCTATTTCACTATAACTCTTGATTATTTTTTTAGTCTCTGCATGCAATATAGTTTTTGAATAGTAAAATACTTGCTGTTGTTTCAGGAAACCACTACCCAACTCTGTAAAAGCAATATTAGAGGAAGGCATTAATCTTTATAGGCTTCACAGCAGCAAGCATGGAAGGTATCTTTTCTTCTCAAGAGGTTACTAAAAATATTTTGAGGTTGCTGATTTCCTTGTCAAATTCGGTCTGAAATGCATTTTACCTTTTCTTTTTTATGCTAATTTTCCATAATATGATCGTTTAAATGAATTTGGAAGATATATTCAGTATATACCTGAGTATCTGACCTTCTTTATTTGATAAGGTGTTAAAATGGAAAATTTGTGTAGAGATATGTCAGCTTTTTGGTGTCCACATGTTTGATTAGGTGGTCAGCAAGTAAATCATGTTACAAGGCACCCCATTCCTATAATTGTAAATTACGTATAGTACCATTGTACCCATGCATGAAGGTGTACACCAAAAAAGTTGAGGAAACAGTGCCTTTCAATATGTTTGCCCTGCTGAAGGAGACATGTCATAGCAATAGGAGACATGTCATAGCAATATCTAATTTATTTCCTCAGCATATACCAATGTACCTTTTCTGAAGTTCTCGTTTGCTTTGTTTAAGAGGAAGCTCATTGCTCTAGATGCTTTTGTCCGAAGCACCTTATGATCTTTCTGTTCCCAGAACTTCTAATTGTTTATGTGTCTACTGTATATACCTTCACTTTGGAAGGAAAGGGAAAGTCAGCGGTTAAATATTTGTAGTGAAGATCCTATAGTTTTCATGTACTTCTAGTGCTGTCACAGTTAGATGATGACTTATGGTTACTTCTAGTTCCAATTTATTTCCTGAGCTTTATTTGTCAATTCTTTCTCTTAACTTCATTTTTTGTTTTAAATGTGTTTAATGAAATAATGTTATTCTAATGAAATAATGTTATTATAGGTTGGAACCTTCTAAAGGCACTTATCGAAAAGAATGGACTGAATGGGAGAAACGTTTGCGGGCAGTTATGTTTAAAAATGCTGATTACCTCAATTCTGTTCAGGTAAGCAGATTTTCAGGCTTCAATCCTTTCTGTTATTTTTGTCCAAGGATATGGCAAAGGAACGTTTAACATTGCATGTTATGTTGCTATCATTTATAGATCTCGCTAGCCAGTGTCTGTAATTGATTGTCTAGTTTAATGCTCAATTGCTCATAATATCCATGCATCTTTTGAACAAGCAAAACTAATGGTATTCTGGAGGCTTTTGTCACATTTTGGGATGTTTAAAGACCCTGTTTGGCCCCTTCCGTTTACTGGCTAATGAATACTGTTGCTATTTGAAGTGAAAAGAGTTATGTTTTCATTTCACTGTTTAAACTTTTTTTCATTTAATCAATAAGTCTTTTCTTAAAGATGTTATCACATATTAGTTGAAAGATATTTACAGTTCTACTAAGCAATTCGTTCGCTACCATATCCGATTCCCTAATCTGTTCTTTTACAAATTGTAAAATGTTTGAGGACTCAATCTTACCTTCTACTTCAAGTAAATTATTATGTAGGAAAGAAACAGGTTATTTGCTATTGAAATTAGTTACAGACTTCTACTTCAAATAAATTTCAAAACATGGATGTTCTTTTACCCCTCATTCATTCTATCACTCCACCCCTTTACATTATATCAATGTATAAATGGTCATGCTTTCACACTCTGTTCCTGGGATCTTAGGACTTGGCAGAAAAACAAAACTTGGAATCAGAAAAAAAATTACTAAAGGATAGCCATATCGGTTTGATGCTCATGTTTCTGAGAGATGAAATATTGATGAAATAGTAAAGAAAATCTAAATTTCAATTGCATTTTTTTCAGCATGACAATTATACTTAAAGGCATTTCTTGCTGGATTTGCAATGAATATTCCTTGTGCTTGACATAATTCATCTGAAAGTTAATACTCTGAGGGAAGGTAGAAATCGTGATCATTCTCACCTATGCAAATATGAATACTGCATGGATAACATTATATGTCAAAAGAGCGTCTATACTTTGTGTCATCCCAATGACTTGTGCAAAGTATCATCACATCAAGATTTAAAATGGATAAGAAAGGGGAACAACCTAAATATTAAGACAAAATGTTGTCATATCGCAATGGTAAGGACAAAATGCCTAGCTGAAGAAGACTTAGATTGAAGCATTGAAAAATACAGGGAGTTCTGATGTCATTTACTGGTGTCAGATCGAAATTAATCGAGTTTGATTTTGAGTGGAGACTCAATATCCTCATTTGTGAGGTTTACCTGAACCAAATTCACTTTTTGCGCACTAGGATTTCTTTTATTCAACTACATGTAGCATAATAACAGTTAATCTCAAATATCTCGTTGTCAAAACCATCTCCGTGTTCTAAGTCGGTCCATCTTCCAGGTACCATTTGATCTTGCTGTCAAACAAGTCATGCAGCAGCTCAAGGAGGCTGCCAAAGGCGAGCATATGACCCCAGATAGTGGGAAGAGGAGGTTTGGCAACATTGTTTTTGCAGCAGTTACGTTGCCTGTAACAGACATTAAACTCACCCTTAGCAAGGTACAAATTCTTCTAGGTTAAAAAGCTTAGTTGGCTGAAAATTAATAACTCTAGTTTTTCTAGGGAAACATTATTCTTTTAAGAGGCTTTTTCTTATAAACCCAAAGTTTTACACCCATTTACTTTAAAACCCACCTAGTTTTATATGTTCTCTTATACCCAAAATACGAAGTATAGACTACAGAGCGTACACCTACATACAATAGGTCATGTAGCTATACACCCTATAATATGCAAGTATACACTCCAGTGTGTGCCCGCCTATACGTCCTATTGTATGTAACTATACACCTTGTCCTCGATACTTATATTTAAAAATAAGTAAACCTTGGATTTTGGGTGTATGAGAACCTTAGAACTCCGATGGTTTCCAAATAAACCGGGGTAGAACTTGTGTGTTTATAAAGCAACAAACAAGCCTTCTAATCTGTTAAGACACAATTCATGCCTTTTAACTCAAAACAGGTAGCTAGTAAGGATCCCAAAGCCGAAGCATTTCTTGAAAGCATACGCCTAGAGGACAACCTTCAAAAGGCTCATGTTACTCTAGCTCACAAAAGAAGCCACGGGGTCACAGCTGTGGCAAGCTATGGCGTCTTTCAAGATCAGGAAGTTCCAGTTGATTTCACCGCTATGTTCTTCACCGACAAAATGGCTGCCCTAGAAGCAAGATTAGGATCAGTTAACGGAGAAAAGGTAGTGTCCAAAAATCAATGGCCTCATGCCACGCTTTGGACCGCACCAGGCACAGCAGCGAGAGAGGCTAATGCTTTGCCAGAGCTTCATTTAGAAGGTAAAGCAACACGAATAGATATTGATCCGCCTATTACTGTATCAGGAGTGTTGGAATTCTATTGAAATTTTCCTTTCCCCCTCTCTTTCTTTCTTTCTTTCTCTTTTGTTATTGGAAAACCATTCACGATGTAAAGGCTGTGATAAAAACCAATCAAGATGTAGAGGCTGTGATACTTGAGTTGTAGAGTTGTGAAATTTTGAGGGAGTTAGAGGAGAATGTCTGCAAGCAATAGTTTCTTTCATCACGTATATATGATACTTAAAAGTTTTGAGGGTTAATTTACTGTTTGTCTTTTAATCTCTATGCTTCAAATTCCATTTCGATTCCCTGTATGATATCTCTGTATAAGCCCTGCTGTGAATGGGTGGAAACTTGTTACTACTAATTTTTCTTCTCCGTCTTCGCTGCATTACAATATGTAGCCAACATTAGCGTGGAAAGGCGTCTCGTTAAAGTGGAATAGGGAATACAGGAAAAAAAAAGGAAAATGATTGTGAAATTATTCCAACGTGAAAAAAGAGGCGAATCAATTTTATTTTCCATAGGAATATTATTATCCAGGAAAGCCACACTTTTGGCTTTATTTCTGTGTGTATTTAAATTTCAAAATATTCAACATATATCATTAATAATTTATTGTACGTTAAAACTAATTAGAAGAACAAAATTGAAGAGATTCGAAAAACGTCCCAACTATTATTGACTATTTAATAACTATTTTGCTCCTCACATTTTCTAATAGCACAATACTTTATATTAAAATTGACAATAATTTTTTTAAAATTTATTCCCATTAGTATTTATTTTTAAGGTCTTCTATGCACAAGTTTACCTTATAATGTACGTATCGCTTTCTCTGGAGAACTAGTTCTGTTTTAACATTTGGGTGTATTTGCCTCTAATCCATCAAGGATCTAGCACAGTGCATGTTCATGATTTTTATATTAAATGATTTTAAGGATAATTTAGGAATAGATCCTTTAATTGGAAAACAATTACCTTAAATATTTGTCAAAAACTTTTGGCCGCGGGCTAAAAGTTTTGTCGTTTGCTCTTAATTGTTTTGTTTCCAAGCAATGCCATTTTGTTTTCTAATCATTTAGTATTGCCAAAGCTCCAGGGCATTTGATGAAAACTAATGATCTGAGGCACCTGCATTGCAAGTGAGAAAGTTAATAGTAATACCAATGATTTGAAGAATTAATCTCTCTCAAAATAAAAATTTAAGGGACTAATATTTGGGGGGGGGGGGGGGGGGGGGGGGGTTGGTGGTTGGTGGCCTATTTCCTTGTAGTACCTCTAAATTTTGCCCAACCTTTTCTTGGATCGTCAAAGTACTTTTTCTAACACTTGGCCACCTAAAGTTTTTCAATTATATTTCACTGTTGACAACTCACACTTTGATAGCTCTAAAGTTTCAATGTCACATTTCTCTTTAATACCTTTGTTATTAATTTTATATTTGTCCTTAGCATTGAAAATTGTCATTTTATCTAACCATTAACATGTGATAGAAAAGTATGTAATTGGGAGTTTTGGTGTCATTAGTGAACCTTTATGAATGCTAATGCACATTGTTGACTCATAATATCTTTGTTTTGCCGTTTCTTTTTTTTTAACTAAAACAAAGAAATGTGTTTGGAAAACCGGGTGTTTTTTATCTTTTTCCCTTTACAAAATCTAAAATTAACACTTTCTCAAAACAGTGCACCAAAATATGGGTTTTGAGATTTCCGTTTTTTTCATCTAAGTGCCGCCGTAGCCGCCCACAGGTTGTTGCGGCTCGTCACCAATTCCCCGTCCGCCTCGCTAGCGCCGACCAACGCTCTGCCCTCGGAGCCCGCCGCACCAGATCCGGCCACCGTCCGGAAGATGACGTCGTCACCCATCTCCCGCTGTCCCAACCAAGAGCCACCCGCTGTCGCTCCCACCAGTTCCGCCGCCGCCATCACAACCGCCGCCAGCCACCCTCCCCCCGTCGCACTCTACCGACCACCACGCCACCGCTTGTCGCCCGCCGCCAACCTAGCATCGTCGACCCGGCCGCCCCCGCCGCCGCCGCCGTCAAGACCATCTCGCGCGTGCCTCCAACCGCTCACACAGCTCGTCGCTCCCCACCCGCCGCGGCCGTACAACGGCCCGCCAGCGCACCTTCGCTACCCGTCGCAACACCACCACCCACCACCGCCACGCATTGTCGGCCCGCCGCCACCAGATCGTCGACCGAGACAGATTCCGCACCGCCGCGGCCAGACCCCCCGGGCCTGGCCACCCTCCACCCCCGCGCCACATCTCACCGCCGCCACCCGTCCCACGCCGGCGAACCCGCCGCTCCCGACCGTTGCCCGCCGACCGCCGGCCACATCGTCGCTACCACTGCCGCCGTAGCCGCCCACAGGTTGTTGCGGCTCGTCACCAATTCCCCGTCCGCCTCGCTAGCGCCGACCAACGCTCTGCCCTCGGAGCCCGCCGCACCAGATCCGGCCACCGTCCGGAAGATGACGTCGTCACCCATCTCCCGCTGTCCCAACCAAGAGCCACCCGCTGTCGCTCCCACCAGTTCCGCCGCCGCCATCACAACCGCCGCCAGCCACCCTCCCCCCGTCGCACTCTACCGACCACCACGCCACCGCTTGTCGCCCGCCGCCAACCTAGCATCGTCGACCCGGCCGCCCCCGCCGCCGCCGCCGTCAAGACCATCTCGCGCGTGCCTCCAACCGCTCACACAGCTCGTCGCTCCCCACCCGCCGCGGCCGTACAACGGCCCGCCAGCGCACCTTCGCTACCCGTCGCAACACCACCACCCACCACCGCCACGCATTGTCGGCCCGCCGCCACCAGATCGTCGACCGAGACAGATTCCGCACCGCCGCGGCCAGACCCCCCGGGCCTGGCCACCCTCCACCCCCGCGCCACATCTCACCGCCGCCACCCGTCCCACGCCGGCGAACCCGCCGCTCCCGACCGTTGCCCGCCGACCGCCGGCCACATCGTCGCTACCACTCCACTGTCGCTATATAAATGGTCAAACTAATTTAATCAAAATGGTGTTTTCAAAACACATTTAAAAAAGAAACACCATGACATGGTGTTTTTCACAAAAACACAAAAAACACATTGATTACCAAACACACCCAAAATTGATGGACCATTTAGCAATCTCAATGATCTGAGGGACCATTTCGTCCCTCGCCCAACACGTTTTTTCCACCGGAAAACGCCTACCAAGAAACCGGATCCACCGCTACCTACCATCTTTGCGAAAATTTCAGAAAAATACCTGAACTTTTGTGATTTTGTAAAAAGCCTCATAAAAAAAAGCATGTTAGCGGCTTAGATTAATAAGTTTGAATTATGATAAACAAAAATTATGATGAAACTTTCGAGTGAGAAATATTGATCTGGAAGAACAAAATGTCACAGCCAGATCTTATTTACAGAGTTTTGAAAGTTTATATGGACAATTTAGTGAGTGAATAAATTGCAAATATCACGAGGGGCGTTATGCAATTGAAGCGGTTGAGAGTTGTTAAAGCGCTACGGAAGATATAGATGAGGTGGGGATGCAGTTAACCTCTTCTGATTTGTGCAAAAGCTACCGAAGTTCAGGGGGTTTTATGGGATTTACCCTTCTTCTTGATAATATACTCTCGACTTTCCCAACTACCACCGCTCGTCCATCTCAATCATTCTCTCTCCTCTCCTCTCCTCTCCTCTCCTCTTCAGAAGGGGAAAAAAAGGGTGGGAAATGACAGAAATACTCTCATCTGCATCTTCCTCCTCCTCTTCATCGAAAACTGCAGAGCTCGATGCTCCGCTTCACGCCATCGGGTTCGAGATCGACGTCGTCTCGTCCGATGAAGTTAACGGCACGTTGGAGGTCACTAACACCTGCTGCCAGGTATAGTGCCTTTCTCTTAAGTTGTTCTATTTATTTATTTATTTATTTATTTATTTTTGGAAATTTGTTTTGAGTTTTGCTCGTGCAGCCGTTTAAGGTTCTTCACGTCTTCACGGCCCACGTGGCGTCGGGGTTCCGAAGGATCGCCGGTATCCAGCTCAGCATCAACCACCACAGGAGTGCTCGGCTTGGTGATCGCGTGTTCGCACGTGCCACGCCCATCCACGTTGGCAAGACTATCCAGGTCCTCTTATTTCTGTCCTCGATCAATTTTGGGGCCTGTTTGGTTCTTTTCCGTACGCCACGTGAAAGCCACCGTAGTTAGGAAAGCTGATCGTCTAATTAAGGACCTAACATTATTAATATCTATAGTAAAATCTATTAAAAACGGTTCGTTTTGATGAGAACCGGTCAGAGGCCGGCGAGCAAGATTTTTACATGCCACGTTGGCCTCAAACGAACAAAGTAAAAGCTTGAAAGTTACTGTAGCAGTAAACTACATTTATTAGCTTTCTGGTCAAAAAACCCCAACCATGTTATTACTGGGTTAATTTTAGAAAGCACCCCCTCAGCTGTTTTATGAACTATTTTAATTTGAGTAATTATATATCCTGTCAAGTTTGGGGGTGTTGCAGATAAACCCTGTAACAGTGAAAATTTGAGGGAACCCCCGGTGTCACGCATGACCCTCTTGATCTTCTCGCTTTCTGTGAAAAATCGTTGACTTGCATGTTGTCAAAATGCGAAATGATCTATTTTTCTCTTGTCCTGCAAATATCTATACTAAATTTTTGTAAAGGTAAGAGGTAAATTAGCTGCTTATGTCATGTGCTTGTTACGTGATATGTTTGCATGTGCTTTGTTAGTGAGGGGATTAATTGACAAAAGTCCAAAGAGGTTTTCTCAATTTTTCAAAGATGATGATCGAGGTTAAATATCTACATCACCCCCCAAAACTTTAGGGGGTTACTTAGATTAAAATAGCTAATTAATAAGGGTTTCCTGAGACGCCCCCGTAGTTAGAGAGGGATTTTCTAAAACTAATCTTTTATGTCTGTGTTTAGTAAGATGAATAAATGCGTCTGTGGTTGGTGCACATAATGAAGCTGATCAGGCTGTTCAGTTAAAAAAAAAAGGAAGGAGGCGTGTTTTATTGCGGGACGCAATCTTTTTTTTTTAAAGTCAATGCCTCGAAGTCGTTGGCATTTGAGGTGTGCAAAATTAGTGAATCATGATTCATCTAATCTAATCTTCTATTTTTTTTTAATAAATCAAAGATTAATTGACATAGGAATTGAAAGAGAGAGGAGAGAGAGACAACATCTCTTTGTATTTATCCAAAGCGTTATTATCTTTCATGGAAGGTGGGTGTCGATGAGCCAAGCTGGGCCCTGGGCTTTTTTTGTATACTCCAGGTAAACAAACGAGACCATCCAGTAGAACGATGATTTTGGCTCTTGCCGCAACCCCATTCCTCATGTTATATATTGGGAAAATTTCACTAAACCCCCAGTAAGTTTGGGGGCTCTAGAAAAACTCCCAAACTTTTTTTTATTATTTTTTATTATGTTTATGTGATGTTATTTGTTCGGAAACTCAAAATATGGGCTTATGCTGTTATGGGGCTTAAGAAATGTCTCTTATCAATAGTTTTCAAAGTTTTAGTAACGTCGGTAAGAATGACATCGAAACACCCTAGTCATGCTGTAAGAACTGTGTCAAATCTTTATGAGCTTCGGATGATATTTCCTTGTTATTCTTAGTAGGACAAAATAACCAATTCCTCCTTAAAGTACTGTTAAACTTTTTAACTTTTTTTTTCTAAATTATTATATAATTTGCCTATATTTTTCTTAAACAATATTTGTGAGCCCAATATGGCCATTTTGTGAGCCCGGAGTCAAATAACTGATAGATCAATATGGCGTGATGATGTTTTCATTTTTGCATTTCTTCATAGTTTTTATTAGTTTGTTACCTCGCCCCCGAACCAAAGAAATTACGGAACTACTTTCTCTAAAGCTTTTTACCCTTAGGGGCTGTTTGTTTGCTAAAAAAATGGAAAAAAAAAGCCGCCACGTCAGATTTCAAGAAATCCCTCTCTGTCACGTAGAATTTTTGTTTCAACCGATTTCCAAATCACATGTTTGTTTCGTTTTGTGATTTAAAGAAATGAGAGTGCCACGTAGGATGTCAGGTTAGATTTTTGAGAAAAGTATTTTCACACCAAAAATCTTTGAAACCACTTGGAAATGTCACTTCAATAAATTTTTAATTACTAAAAGCACTGTTAAAACAGTGGCTGTGAAAAAAGAGATTATTTAATTACTGAAAACACTATTACTATTGCGGTTGATTTTTATTTCCTTTTTTTATGTTTAAACAAACACAAGAAATGGAAATCGAAACACTGTTACTATTGCGGCTGGATTTGTTTTTTATGTGACGTGGCAGTGACATGACAGTGGTTTCATTGCGAAACAAACAAAAAAAGTAACGCGTGAAATGTCTTGAAATCTCTTGAAATGAGTTGAAATGTGAGTTTTCCATTTCCGATTTTTTTCGGAAAACAACCAAACGACCCCTTATTTCCTTCTTTGGAACAATTTTTTTTTGAATTGCAGAAAGTACAAATATTGCCAAAAAATTACTTATACTTAAACTATTTATTAAGTATTTGATTGTGATGACCATATTGGGCACATGCACATAGTTCAAGAGAGAAAATAGGTAAATTAGTACTGGATGGAGAGCTCACCGGCACTTTAAAGGGAAATTGGGTAGTTTTGTCCTTTCTGATAACCTCAGTATAATTATAACTTGCATGGCTTTATTTTATTTTTATTTTTCATAGGTTTGGGAGGTTCATTTGTGGAAGATAAACCCAGGATCCAGCCCTGAGAAAAGAGAGCTTTTAGCATCATCAAAGGTCACGTTACTATCGAACATGCCAGTGCCCAAGGAAAACAAGGATGCAGGAGATGCTCTTAGAAAGTATGCAAAATTATAAATACTGGCGTTTATACACACTACACCCCTATCTACAGCTTTTTGCAATTACCACTGAAAGAGTGGTGTTATCTGCATATTACGAAGGTATCCAAGAGTGAATAGTTCTCAAGCTAGGAGGGGAACCCAATATTGTATGGAGTTTTATTATTTTGTGTGTAATAATCAAGCCATGCAAGGCCGCAGCGTAATAATTGCACGGTTTTGATCGATGCATGTATAACCTTCTGTGTTAAAGAAATCGCATGTTCTAACTTGTCTTCGATGGCTTGATCAGTTGCTCTCTTTATGTTTATATGTCTTGAGTTATGCTGCTGATGTGATAAACATGAATCATCTAGAAATAAAATATCCAATGATTTTGACATGTTTTAAGTCAAATTTTCAAAGATTAAAAGGTTATTCTATTTTATGAAAGTTCTAGAATGTTGAGTTTGACATGAATATAAGATACGTAGTTTAGTACACGTTAAGCGCTGAAAACAGATCGGTTTTTGTAAAAAAATTTCGAAAACTTCACGGGAGTTCAACTCCCGTGAAGTTTAGTGTATTTTTAAACTTCATGGGAGTTGAACTCCCGTGAAGTTTAATTTCTCCATAAACCTTCACAGGAGTTCAACTCCCGTGAAGATTTATGCACTTATGAAACTCCACGGGAGTTCAACTCCCGTGGAGTTACAGGCCGCATTTCCCAGAAAGCGCTCTCTGGGAAATGCCGCCTGCAACTCCACGGGAGTTGAACTCCCGTGGAGTTTGGCGTGCCTATATAAGGC